GGAGAGAGAAAAATTCCAGACACCCCCCTCCCTTTGAAAAGCCATTGGCTCCATAGACTTCACCTCGGCAAGGATGCGCCATTGAATCTTTACAGCTTTGCTTCGTACACAGTGGCTGGTTTTATGAGAAGGTTTACAAGATCGAGCCCTCTAAGCCCCGTGTTGCTTCTCCTCTTTAAATCTCTCCCTTTTCACCGCCTTTCTGGTTGTGAATCATTTCTGAGCTATAAAAGATTCTGTGATATCATGCCAGAGAGGGACACCATATAAAAATGAACAATATACTCCAGCGACTCCGGGTTGGTAACTCTTGGGCTGCCAAGGATATTCTGCTTGCTGTAAAGTGGAAACAATTTGCAGGGTCTCTCTCTGCGATTCTCATCAAAGTTTTCCTTATATGAGCTTGCTTTCATAAAACTAGAACAACCATATAGGGCTTCCCTTTAAGAGTGTCTGGATATGGCAGTTGGAGGAAATGCTAGTGATGCTAGTGTTGGGAGCAGTGGAAATGACTGGTTCCCATGTCAGAGGATCAGGGAATATCATCTGACTTTTAGTCTCAGCTTTCAAGAAACTACATTTTGTCCCCAAGAGGCTCAACACCTACCATAGCTCCACTAAAATCTGGACTAACACCCAGAATGGATTCACTGTCCTGTTGACATGGGGCCCTTCCACACAGCCCTATATCCTAGAATATCAAGGCAGAAAATCCCACGTTATCTGCTTTGAACTGGGTTATCTGAGTCCATACTCAGACAATGTGGGATTTTCTGCCTTGGTATTCTGGGATATGGGGCTGTGTGGAAGGCCCCCTGGAAGCCTGAAGCCCTTACAAGAAAAGTTAGGGATAGGATAGACAGTCTCTTCTGGTTCCTCATCCATCCTAAAGACATAGATTTTCAGATTTTGGCAACTTCTAAAAAAAATCCAGACCAAAATGAAATCCTCTTGTGAAACTCAGTACATACAAATATTTCTGGCATGGAGATGAAATCCAGAACACCTACAAGGCAAAAGGTCCTCCACTCCTGTGTTAAGAGAAAGACACCACAATCTTAGATTGCAACTAGACTGTTAATGAATGCAGTTTGAAACCACTTTAATGGCCATGGCTGAATGCTAGGGAATCCTGGGATGTGTAGTTTGGTGAAACACCAGCACACCTTGCAAAACTCCCATGAGTCCCTTGCATTGAGCCATGTCACTTAAAGTGGTATCAAACTGCTTTAATTCTACAGTTCTCAGTGCACCCTTAATCTTGCTGCCTTCTATGCTGGTAGGAAAACCCACCCAGAGTATGCGTCAGGGGCAGTGCAAAAGACCTCATCCGCCATCTTAAGATGTTTCAAGACGGGAGAAGACCACTTTATACCGGCAGCACTTAAACTTTTTGAAGCTAAACAAATTGCACAAATGCTGGCCCCTTTTCAAATTATGCCCCACTAGAGCATATTCAATCAAAATTTCTAAGATCGGCTCTTACTTACTTACTTAGGCGATCTCTCGTTGTCCGAGTAGGATTGTCTTCCAAGATCGGTGTACTGGCGGTGGGTCCGTAGGTGACTGTGGAGCCCTATTCTTGATCCATATGTTCTCCCACAGTGAGGGCATTGGTTTCCAGGTGGAAGGAGGTCCTGATCAGGGTTGGCTTGATGCACCTTCCTCTTGGCACGTTTCTCTCTTTTGCCCTCCATTCATGCCTCTTCAAATTCTACAGCACTGCTAGTCACAGCTGACCTCCAGCTGGAGTGCTCAAGGGCCAGGGCTTCCCAGTTCTCAGTGTCTATGCCAGAGTTTTTAAGGTTGGCTTTGAGCCCATCTTTCAATCTCTTTTCCTGTCCACCAACATTCCGTTTTCCATTCTTGAGTCTGGAGTAGAGCAACTGCTTTGGGAGATGGTGGTCGGGCATCCGGACAACGTGGCCAGTCCAGCAGAGTTGATGGTGGAGGACCATCACTTCAATGCTGGTGGTCTTTGCTTCTTCCAGCACACTGACATTTGACCACTTGTCTTCCCAAGAGATTTGCAGGCTCCCAGATGTGTCTCTAATGCCACCCTGCGATTGGAGACAGGCTTCGTGAAAATGGAGGCGAGAGTGTGGACAGCCATTCTCAGCTACTGGCTACACCTATCCTTCTCCCCATGTGGTCTTGCCCCTCTAACCATGAGGGACTACTTCCAGTCCACACAGATTAAAACAGTGGCAGTAAAGATCGCAACACTAGGTTTCTCCCAAGGACAATAGCTAATCATGAGATGGGACCAAACCAAGGATCCCATGAAGCAGCTGGTCCTGGACATAGAGCACCAATCGGACTTAACCCGTTCCCCAGCCTTTATTGTTAATGAAACTAATAGATATCCCACTCCCCCATGGCATACCTAACAGACCTGGAGGGACCCAAACACTGAAGGGCTTTTACCCTGGCAAGATGCCCTGCCTTCCCATCAGCTGTATTGGAGGGAAGGTATTGGAAGACCCCTGTTAAGGAGAGATTATGTCCCTGTGAGTCTGGACACACGGAAACAACTGAGCATGTGCTCCTTCGGTGCATGTTGTATGGAGACATCAGAACTAATTTCATTACAGCATGGCTTTTTAAATACCCAGAGCGTACTGGAAAATTTTGTATCACCCTGCTGCTCTTGGGCTCTAGCACTGCAATAACTTACAGTGTTGCTAGGTCCTGCGCTGCAGCACTTAAAATTTGACGTATGATGATCAACCCCGCAGAACAGCACACTGACGGGAGTGCGGCTGAAGCAACCTGTTGCAGCTGAGGCTACTGGACTTGTAATGTGCCCCTCCCTCTCCCTCTAGTGATCCCCTAGTGTTTTGACCTCTCCTATCAGATCTCTCTCTCCCCCCCCCCCCCCGCTTTGGTTCCATAACTGCTATGTTAACTGCATCTTAGTGTTTTTAAAACTGTTTTATAATCTTTTTTTTAATGACTGCCTCTCTAGGGAAATGCGTTTCCCCTTCCCAGGGTGTTTGTGCTGGTCATGAATCCTAATAAAGTGTTGTTGCTGCTGCTGCTGCTGCCCTCTATGCTGGTAGATTCTGGATCATTTCTCTTTCTTGAAATCCCGCCAAAGCAGTGGTTTTCAACCTGTGGGTCCCCAGATGTTTTGGCCTTCAACTCCCAGAAATCCTAACAGCTGGGTAAACTGGCTGGGATTTCTGGGAGTTGTAGGCCAAAATACCTGGGGACCCACAGGTTGAGAACCACTGCTCCAAAGGCATCCAACTTTTGGCCATAAATTTAAGGGAGCTTTGGTCGCAACATTTTTTGGCACATTTTTAGCATCACTCCAGCAAATGAGGAGTTGGAGCTGATAGAGGGAGCAAATCCGGGGAGAGGCGGATGAGCTCCCTCTATCAGCTCCAGCTCCTCATACGGGGACATGAGAGAAGCCTCCCACAAGGATGATAAAAACATCAATTCATCCGGGCGTCCCCTGGGCAACGTCCTTGCAGACGGCCAATTCTCTCACACCAGAAGCGACTTGCAGTTTCTCAAGTCGTTCCTGACACGACAAAAAAACCCCAAAAAACTCCAGCAAATATTCGTGGAATGGATAATATTCAACAAAACAATTTATTACAGTACTAGCTGTACCCGCCACGCTCTGCTGTTGCCAACCTTCCCTCCCTTTTTCTCTCCTTTCTTTCCTTCTTTCCTTCCTTCTCTCCCTCTTTCCTTCGTTCCTTCCCTTTTTTTCTTTCCTACTCTCCTTCCTTCCTTCTCTACCTCTTCCTTTCCTTCCTTTCTTTGCTCTTTACTTCCATCCTTCCCTTTTTCCTTCTTTTTTCCCCTCCCTCTTTCATTCTCTCATTTCTTCCCTCCCTCTTTCCTTCCTTCCCTTTTTTCTTTCCTTCTCTAACTCTTGCCTGGGCACCAGTGGGAAGGGAGTCTTGCAGCCCTCGGCATTATTGGGCCCGGCACGGGGTGAGTGGAAGGCCTTGCTCACCCTGTGCCAGTCCCTTCTTTCTGCCGCTGCTGTGGGGCACCTTTCCACTAGGGGAGTTGTTTTCACGCATGCTCTGTACCTGTTTTATCATTTTGGGTTTTCAAAGTCCCTTTCATTGTTTTTGCTGGGTTTTTTTTAAGTGATGGTCACTTATTGGGTTGTTAGGTGTATTCTGTCCAAATTTGGTGTCAATTCATTCAGTGATTTTGAAGTTATGTTAATCCCACAAACGAACATTACATTTTTATTTATATAGATTTATTATATGTGAATTATCAGTGCATTTCTTTTTAAAAAACAAGACTGCCCAGCAGCTCCACCATCCTTTTCCCCCTTGTCCTCTGTCTAGTTGGCTATTTCTTAACCGCATCAGAATTTAGAGGACTTGTTTTGTATCAGGAGCAACTTGAGAAACTGCAAGTCGCTTCTAGTGTGAGTGAACTGGCTGTCTAAAAGGACATTGCCCAGGGGATGCCCAGATGTTTTGTTGTTTTACCATCTTTGTGGGAGGCTTTTCTCATGTCCCCACATGGGGAGTCGGAGCTGACAGAGGGAGCTCACCCGCGCTCTCCCCGGATTCGAACCTTCGACCTGTCGCTCTTCAGTCCTGCTGGCACATGGGTTTAACCCATTGCGCCACCAGGGGCTCCCCATTGAGAGGATTGTGGTGATTAGAAAAACACAGACATTTGGTGTTGGGTTGCAGCAAAAGCAGTTTGAGACTCAGCGTCTTGGACTGGGACTTGTGAGGTCCCAATTGACTCATCCACTAATGCATGCCACTTTGACCAGTCACATTCTCTCTTTTTCTCTCTCTTCCTCTCTCTCTCTCTCTGGCTGACCAACCTCACAAAGTTATTGTGAGACTAAAGTGGGGAAGAAAAGACTAATGCCTTCAGCACAATAGGAGGAAAGGAAGGATATAAATGTAATAAATAAATAAATGATGACAACAGTAAATATTGTGGCAAGAAGAGTTGACTTACCCGCCCCATAATTGTGTTTTCCTTCTTTCTTTCTCCAGTATGACTGCTCCTCCCTCTGAGATAATGCAGATTGATTTTGAAATTGAGGATCTTAGTGAATTGCCGGAGACTCAGCTTATTACGTGGCAAGTTGAATATCCAGGAGACAGAACATCTGACCTTGGCATCTCCAAGATTTATGTAAGCCAGAAGGATCTGGTTGCTGTTCTTCCATTGGCTATGGTAAGAGCAGTTTGAAGTCAATTTCAACTATTGTCGTTGGATATATGCGGATTTTGATCCCGGGCTGACGGAACAGAACTCCCTTCCCTTCATTTGGTATCTCATTCCTGTTTTACTCTAAAGTCTGCAGTTGGTCAGAAATAGGGCCCAGAACATACTGGAGCCATTCCCTTTTTAAGAGGCCAACATGGCTAGGATTGTTTCTCCCTGGTGGGGTAATAATCACATACACACTCTGACAAACCCTGAGCTAGAAGCGGGTGCTAGAGTTGCTCAGATGGGCAAAGTATTTGTAAGTAGATAGTTCCAAGCTGTTCAGATCTCTCTCGTTTTGACCTCTTTTGGCGGTACTATTATTATCTCATTTGTTTTATTATCTACTAGCTTGGGTACCCAGCATTGCCCGGGTTATTTGAAGGAGCCAATTTTTTTTAAAAATTTTCACAATGCATATGGTTGTGGGTGAACTACAACTCACATCATGCCAGGTTAACCCCCTGAAACTCCATCAGTAGTTTGTCATGTTGGGAAAGTTTGGTCTAGATGCATCATTGATGGGGGTCAGTGTGATCTCTGGCTGCAGGATAAACTACAGCTCTCACCATGGTGGGTCAGTCTCCTCAAATCCCCCCAGCAGGTTCAGTTGGTCATGGTGGTTCTGTGTACCAAGTTTTATCCAGATCCATCATCGGTGGGGTCACAGTGCCTCTGGATGTAAATGAACTACAATTTCTAGAAATGAAGGTCAGTTCCCCCCCGAACCCCTCCAGTATTCTCAGTTGGTTCTGTGTCCCAAGTGTGATCCAGGTCCATCGTCAGTGGGGTTCACAGTTTCTCAGGTTGTCAATGTCAATTCCTCTCAAACCCTTTCAGGATTCAAATTTGGGCGTATCAGACATGTGTGCATCATCATTTGGGATCACGGTGCTCTCTGGATGTAGGTGAACTACAACTCCCCCAAATCAAGGTGAATTTCCCCCCAAAACACTCCATTATTTTTTGTTAGTCATGGGGATTTTGTGTGCCAAATTAGGTCCAGGTCCATCTTTGATTGCAGGTGAATGTTAAATCCCAATACCTACAATATCCAAATATCAAGGGCACCTCCTGCCCAAACCCACCAGTTTTAATATTAGGGCATATAGGGTATGCATGCCAAGTTTGGTCCAGATTCATCTTTCTTTGGGTTCACAGTGCTCTCTGGATGTAGGTGAACTACAACTCCTATAAATCAAGGACCAGGGACCACTTTCACCAGAGAACACTTTGAACAGGGACCACTCTCCAGTGTTAGTACCAGAAGGGATACGAATCAGTTTTTAGTCAACTTTAGATTCGGCTTGGTTATTTGGGGTGCTGATTCAGAAAATTGCATTGAACAGACCACATCAGCTCTAGTTTCTGATACAGAACATATGCCATCCAGTAGTCGCCATCTGCTCGCCCACAGAAAACCATATTTAATAAACTAGAGCTGATTTATTTTTTGTTTATTGTATCAGAAGCAAGCCAAGGGTACAACTGTAATATATTTTTTGAAAAACACAAAGTTTAAAAACTTGGCATTATATTTTTTTAACAAATTTTTTTATCATTGTATTGAATAATATGCATCTGCTATAAAACAAACAATGTATAACAAATGTATTAAATCATGATAAAATAATAAAAACTTGGCATTATATTAAATGTCCTTTGACCAGTAGCTGGCCACTTGGAGTGCCCCTGGTGTTGTGATAAGAAAATCCCCCATTGTGTATGTGGCAGGGCTCAGACTGCATTGTAGATAGTCTGCTGTTTGCTCTTCTCCACACTTGCATGTGGTGGGCTCCACTTTGTGGCTTTATTTCTTAAGGTTGGCTCTGCATCTCATGATTTGTTTCTATTTAGTGTCCAGCTGTTTTTGATGGAAGGTTGGGCTTGAGTCCAGGGGTGCTGTTGCTCTATCCTCGGTCTTCTCACAAAAAGAAAGTCATCTTCAACCTCAGCAAGATGGAGTGGATGAGGGATTAGAGGACATCCAACCCCAAATTGGGAAACAAGTCATCCAGGAATACCTGGCCGCTCTTAATGAGTTCAAGTCCCCAGGGCCAGAACAACTACACCCAAGAGTATTGAAGGAACTAGTGGAAGTCATCTCGAAACCATTGGCTATCATCATTGAGAGTTCTTGGAGAATGGGAGAAGTTCCAGCAGATTGGAGAAGGGCAAATGTGGTCCCAATATTCAAGAAGGGAAAAAAGGATGACCCAAACAATTACCATCCGGTCAGCCTCATGTCGATACCAGGCAAGATTCTGGAAAAGATTGTTAAGGAAGTGGCCTGTAAATAGCTAATAGTCAACATGGGTTTATCAAAAACAAGTCATGCCAGACGAATCTGATCTCTTTTTTCGATAGAGTTACAAGCTGGGTAGATGCGGGAAATGGCATGGATGTAGCGTACCTGGATTTCAGTAAGGACTTCGACAAGGTCTCCCATGACCTTCTGGCAAACAAACTAGTCCAACGTGGGCTAGGCAAAACTACGGTGAGGTGGATCTGTAATTGGTTAAATGGACGAACCCAGAGGATGCTCACCAATGCTTCCTCTTCATCTATTTTTGCTGTTGACCTACAGAAAATGTGGCCATCAACCATGGGGCAGAAGAAAGCTTCTTTATATGTCTGCTTAGAGTGGATTTGAGGTAGTATGTGGCTCTCCATACATTGTTGGCCTATAACTGAATTGTCTATGAGTCCTGAAAAGAAGTGACGAGCGGAGTGCCGCAGGGTTCTGTCCTGGGCCCGGTCCTGTTTAACATCTTTATTAATGACTTAGATGAAGGGCTAGAAGGCATGATCATCAAGTTTGCAGACAACACCAAATTGGGAGGGATAGCCAATAGTCCAGAGGACAGGAGCAGAATTCAAAACGATCTTGACAGATTAGAGAGATGGGCCAAAACTAACAAAATGAAGTTCAACAGGGACAAATGAAAGATACTCCACTTAGGCAGAAAAAATGAAATGCAAAATACAGAATGGGGGACGCCCGGCTCGAGAGCAGTACATGTGAAAAAGATCTTGGGGTCCTCGTGGACAGCAAGTTAAACATGAGCCAACAATGTCATGTGGCAGCAAAAGAAGCCAATGGGATTTTGGCCTGCATCAATAGCAGCATAGTGTCTAGATCTAGAGAAGTAATGCTACCCCTCTATTCTGCCTTGGTTAGACCACACCTGGAATATTGTGTCCAATTCTGGGCACCACAATTTAAGAGAGATATTGATAAGCTGGAATGTGTCCAGAGGAGGACGACTAAAATGATCAAGGGTCTGAGAACAAGCCCTATGAAGAGCGGCTTAAAGAGCTGGGCATGTTTAGCCTGAAGAAGAGAAGGCTGAGAGGAGATATGATAGCCATGTATAAATATGTGTGAGGATGTCACAGGGAGGAGGGAGCAAGCTTGTTTTCTGCTTCCCTGGAGACTAGGACACAGAACAATGGCTTCAAACTACAAGAAAGGAGATTCCATCTGAACATTAGGAAGAACTTCCTGACTGTGAGAGCTGTACAGCAGTAGAACTCTCTGCCCCGGAGTGTGGTGGAGGCTCCTTTTTTGGAAGCTTTTAAACAGAGGCTGGATGGCCACCTGTCAGGGGTGCTTTGAACGCAATATTTCTGCTTCTCAGCAGGGGGTTGGACTGGATGGCCCATGAGGTCTCTTCCAACTCTATGATTCTATGAGTCTATGAAAAGCCATCAGGACTTCCTCCTTTCTTTTGGTCACCCAGCATTTTCGCCTAGAGATGTCACTAGAGCTCATATGGTAGTAGTAATCTTTCGTGAGTAGTCAGCTTCTCCCCTCCCGACATCTCTGTTGCCTTGGCACTATAAGAGGGTTTAGCAAGACCAGTTGCTCTCATTGCTGGGTGGTTTCGAGGCAACAGTGTAGTAATGGTCAGGCCGTGGACCATATTTACATTCTTGCGAACCACTGATGGTCCATGGACCGCAGGTTGGGAACCACTGGCAAAGATGAAATGAAACAACTGAGTCAGATATGCCATTCTTTCCCTGTTCATATTTTGTTGCAGACAATGCTGCTGCAACCCAACACCGAATGCCTGTGTTTCTCTAGCCCTTCTTGACAATCAACCCAATGCTGATGCTGCTAAGGTACATTGCACTAGATAGAATATAAGGAGAAAAAGAGAAGTGGATCTGCTGGGCAGCCTTTGTTTGTTTGTTTTTTTTAAGTTTCACAAACAGATAATAAATAAGAGATTGTTTTGTTTAATCCTATCAATTCCATGAACATCTGTTGGAGTGATGCCACGCTGCTAAAAATGTGAAAATTTTGTCATGACTAAATCTTCTTTAAATTCGGACAAGCATCTTTATCAGTGCAAATTCCCATCCAGAGTTTGTTTTATTCTCTTTCCTATCAGGGTGTCTATTGATCAGCACATTTTTTTCACTGAATATACTAGGGAGGTTTGCTTACTGTGCAGTCAACACAAATCGAAAATCAACCTCATTACTAATTAATTAACACTATGCTGAAAGGAGGATTTGAGCCTCAGTTAATAATGCACAGGATCAACAGTGGAGATGTGATGAGACACTCCATCAAAAACACTGTGAAGTGCCACATGACATTAGCTCCCTGGACTGGAGCAAAATGGCTGACAACAGTCACAAAAATGATGTTTCTGCACAAATGTTTGCTTACAAATAATAGAAATTCAAATAACTGCACAGTTTTGAGGGCAAGCCCAGGCACTGATAGGGATTTCCTTTCCTGATTAAGCATTTTTGTACTGTTTGCAAGACTTCCTATCTTCGCTTTGCAAATGTTCCAGGTTGTGCACGTCCACAAAGTCAACATGGACACTGAAATACAACACCGCCTGAGCTCTGCGAGTGCAGCTTTTTTCCAAAGAAAGCAAAGAGTGTTTGTGGTCTGGGACATCCATACGGAAACCAAGGTGCTTGTTTATAAAGCTATTGTCCTC